ATCTAAATGCATGCTAAATTATTTACGCTTTCAACTGAAAATTAATACCCTTCAATTAATGAATAGTTTATCCTCAATATACAGACGGTGTCCTCAAAGACTTATATATCTGAAGGGATTAAATGTTTACCGAAGAGAGTTGATTTTATCAAGTGTGAAAAGCGAATCCCCTTGATAAAAATGTAATCCTCCAGATAATTAAATCTTTGAGGACACCGTCTGTATATTGAGGATAAACTATTATTTAAAAAGGGTATTACCATTTAAAATTGTAATTGATAACATCTAAATAATTGTTTATGTGTTCAATTCCCGCAGCAAACTATCATTTCCCTAAGTTTACCACAACCCCACTTTGTGAGGGCGTACAATCAATTTTGCGTTGAAGTGTATTTGGTTGTAGAATCTGTGACTTGACAGCAAGGTCTCAGGTTCGAATCTCAAAAGAGACACTTTCACACAAATGACAACGTTTTCGTTGAAGGTATATGCCTGATAGGTTTATAATATCATTTTTTTCCCTATATTCCAGTATTGTTTCTACGATCTGTAGATGTTTATGTGTTCTACTCAGGAAACTATAATTTTAGATGTGAATTTACAATAAAGAAGGAACCCTTTTTCACGTTCGATGATTCATGTCATTATATAGTCATATAGCATTATGGCAAGGTGGTTTAAAGTATATATCTTTAAATCTATAAATCTATGAATACTTAAATGAGGGCGTATCGTATTGATCTCTTTTAGAGTTCCTATATAGAGAATTCTCTTTTATTCGCAGTGCGTTGAGAAGCGCTGTTCACAAGAGTGTGGAATCAGTTGTATGCTTCCAAATCACATTCGACTTTCCAACGAAAACTCCCATTTCCCATTTGATACAGCCCTAAACAAGTATGATTTAGAGAGAAAAAAATATATAGGTCTACCTATTTACAAACGAATACAGTCACGGTTTACAAGATTTTCCGTGCAATTGCATAGTTGGCGTGGACTGTATTCGGCTTACGGATATTATTTTCCATGGTAGTAGCATATGATTGGTCATTTTATGGACATTACAGTATTTATCATGTGAAAATTAGGTGTATATAACTTTGGCCTCAACTGGTCGCGTGTGCTACTGGTATTACAATTGAATACCGATACTGTCAACGGTGTATAGTTATAGGAAGGACCTATTAATTTACCCATAAAACACGATTGCTGTATTTACTGTCGTTTTCATTTATATGTCCAAAGATATACGCGTCAGTAAATTGGCATCATCCGACACATGTTAGATTTGATTGAAACAGCTTATCTATTGGATAATCGCGGATAAATACGATTCGGGCGAACAAGGCACTGAATATACCTTGTACAGAATATTGATATGTGTGAAATGTAGCCTGTATAATTTAATTTATTAATGAATTATGGCTGCGACAAGGGCGTCAGGGGATACTGATGACATGGAAACATCTCCGGGGACTCGGTTAATTTCCCTCGCGGGGTCAACATAGGTGCCTTTTCGTAGTTGTCCCAAGCCAATATCGTTGAGCGCTAAAACGTCTTGTAACAACCGATAGGTGAAAAAAATTAATATGAACGGCATCTATGTCACTCTTGATCTTAACATGGGAAATTGTGACGCAGCCCGTCGAGCGTATCCGCCTTTTATAAAATAAATTGACTAGGCATGAATCTAACGTCCCAGTAAGCTATCCTCAACTTCATCTTATAATTCATGGGATGAAGCCAACAATATCGAAGCCATTATCAACAGTTCGCAGGCCGCCTCACATTTGGCACACGTACAGTGGGCTAAAAATTGCGCACGCATTTTCCCGATCGACTAATGAGGAACCCCGGCACTCCCTTGCGATATCATGTTAATATCTGGGTTACGTAGAAAATACCCAGTACACAAATTTGTGAATTCCTGTTAAAATTAAGGAAAGTTGGTGCAATCAGTTTTAAAGTGGAATTGAGCATTGTCTCAGGAGGCCAGTAATGTCAGAAAGTCGAGATAAGAGCGACAATTAAGGTCCAAAAGAGTGTATTCCTGTTAATACTCATTTAATATTCGTCATATTATTATTCGCACTGGCGTTATGATTACGAAATCACGCAAAGTGTTCTTCACGTCCCGCCAGAGATGCAAACGTCAAATCACTGCGCCAACTACACAAAACAGACAAGCAGTACGTGTACATGTGCAGTCATGATTTCCTTTCGTGGTGGTTTATCAATTTCACCGAAATATGTGGCACTGCCCAGGGACAGTTTGTTAGGCGGTGGTCTATCAGGTATTATCTGGAAGGAAATTCTTCCTGTTAAAAAGGGACAAAATGAGCATCAACCTGGCAATCTAATTTACTTAATATTCCCAAGAACCCAGTGCCCAGCGCACACAAAAATAATTTCCTACGAAAATGTTTTTCCATAATTTATTTCTATGATGTAAAACTAGGCAAATGTTTCATTGATGCTTTCAATTTAATACAAATAACACCTAATAGGCCTACTGACCTACAGTACTTACAAAAGCAAAAAAAACAAAACAAAACAAAAACAAGCAAGCAAAGCAAACAAACAAACAAACAAACAAAAAACAAACAAAAACCGATTTTAGACGGCTACTAACTCATAAATAATAATAGTAATAATAATTTATAATAGGCCTATACACAGGGCTTCTATGAGTAAAATTATATGACGAATTATTTAATGAGTAAAATATGCAGTGTAAATAAATTTAACTTTAATAAAAACGAAATATTATACATCGTTAATGTATATTGTATAATTAAAGCTCCGGGTCACGTTTTCAGGTACTGTACATCCTTCTTCAACACGATACAAATCAACATGTGAATTGGAGAACCTAACAACCCACGCAACAGTTTCACTCACCGTTTCGATTCACTTGGATAAACCCTTCCGTGTCTTCTCAGCCAATTGGCAATTTATGATACCTCTCCAAACGGGAACTGGTGCACATATTTTGCTTTCCTTGTAAACAATATTCCAGGTATCGTCTGGGTTTTTTTTTTTTTTTTTAAGATCAACCGGATTGAGAATAACTGCAAGTCATGAGAATGTTAGGTTAAAGAAAAAAGTTCTGTAATTTATCAATGATGATTATGACGAGTCATAGTGCATCTTATTGTTATATCTATTCCTCTGATCCTATTAAATATAACTAAGCAACGCGCGCGCAAAAAATAAAATAAAAAATGTGCACGGCGAATTACAAATTGCAAAACGGCCGAGAAATGATGCATCATTCCCAGCTCTTTAGGCCTATATCTACCAGGATTTTAACATTATTCATAACTAAATTTAGGTTACTCATAATTTCCTTATTATAACCTATAGGCCTAACACGTAAAAAATAGCCCGCAATAACATACCAATACACGACGCATTACAAATTGCAAAACGGCCCAGAAATGATGCGTCGTCCCAAGCTCCTTACAACAGGATTCTAACATTATTCATAACGGAATCTACTCATAATTTCCTTAGCCATCTAGTAATATGGGACCGGGCTTGTATTCTTGTATTATTCTGAGAAAGAACGAGTAATAGGAGTAAAGATGATAATAAAACTGATATTGAATAATAAAACAATCAGGCCCGAAACTATGCATATGACAATAGGCCTATGTCTAAATAAAATACATTAACTTGGATATGCCTATATTTTATCAAGATGATCAAATCAAGATGATGAAATAATATATAATATATTATCATATTATGAGCACGGGACAAGACGGCGATTTGCTTTATCGACAGTCACGTGTGAACACCGCAACTGGTTTTGTTTTGCTAGATAAAGTGTGTATGTCCGTTTGATGACGCGTTTCTTACACCACTTGCGTTATCAGCTTTGTCACATGAATGAAAAATTTAAACAATGACGTTACTCTGGTTTTAAATTTACACTCCTACGACTTCTGGAAAATTTTTGTTTAAGAAGAGGCTTAATAACGCATTGCATATTCAATTATCAGCCAGCACTTAAATATTGAAAAGTATTGAAATGTGTTTGCTGAAGAGAGAATATCACAATGTTGCGAACTGGAACGATCAGATTGTTGGGGATTTGCAGCAAATAAAATGTTAATAATGAGATCCAACTAATTAGCTTGATTGACTGTTTTATCATCAACGCTAATGAGTACATTTAAAGGGGATGCATCGGACTTGTTGCGATAACATGAGGATGGGAAACCGCAGAAATTTAATCAAGAATTTATTTTGACAAATGTCAAAGTATTTATCAGTAGATCAGGCTTATCACGAGCCAATTTGAACATCGTTAATTTGCATTAATCAGATACTGTTGATAACAACGATAGGAATCCCAATGAAACGTATGCAAAGTTCAACACATCGAACAGAAAACGTGCATCCAATAGCAACTAATACATTTATAGTATAAATTAATTCGCTTATTCGCGAATGCCTTGCTTCCCGTAATAGAACGTTAGCTGCAAATAGAATGAAAATTGGCACGAGTACTGAAATTACTATAGAGGTTTATCTGAGCGTCGTTGCATGATTTCGTCAAATCCTGTCAACAAACGCAAATGATATTTCTCTGTTAGGCTTCACAATTAGGAGTTTCTTATTCATACACATGTATTTCAATTATTTCACTGACGGGGTTTCCCTCCGTAATGCATGGATGATCCAGTAATTTAGTACAAAGTAAAACGAAAGAATGTGCTTAAGTTGGTATAGAAAAATAAGTAGGATTTGTTAATGCAGGGCAATTTCCTTCAATGTTCATTCTTTTAACAGCAAAATGCGTAGGAGTTGGACCGGTCCTACATGCTGACGAACTTCAAAAATATGCGACCTTAGTTTATTCTGTAATCAAGTGTTCGACCAATCAGAACGCATTATTAAGTATACGACTGAGTTGAGGGCAATGAGCCTCGCAATCTGCCGGGTAGTACCGGGTTTTCCCATGTCTTAAAAAATAAGATTAATTTCTCAGGAATGCGATTTCGTGTAAGCCATCTTGAGGGGAAATGTATTGCCTAATAACAGTTTAGCGCTTGAAACAACACCAATGATTGATTATTGGAATCACGAGACTACAGCGGGTGGAACTGCAATTATGCCGAGATAGTTTGCGGCTGCTTCAGTCATCTCATGGTGCCAATTAAACATTAGGACCATGACTTTCTATATGGTCATATTATGGCCAATAGTTTGCTTTAAAATAGAACGATCAGTATCGATAGATGAAGCATTGCTATACCGAAGCTGTTGTAGGTCTACTGGCTGGAAGAACATAGTGCTTACTGACGGTACTCTGTCAATTATAGGCCTGGCCTACTATGCGAAGAATAATGTTAGTTAAGCCAGTATGTTTCGTTTGTGACGGTACTCAAGAGGATATGAGCCCTTATCGGATATGAATGATAATTTAGGAAGATAACTTTTAGAAATTGATAGACTAGTATCGTATCAGCTGTTAATTAATTGGCTTGTAATAGCATTGGGGATTGTTGGTTAAAATCGAGTAGCTTGGATATGTAGGCCTCGATTCATTATCCGATTATGCCTCCTGACGAATCATAATTAGTGTCAAGTCAATACACCTAATCACGAGAAGTCAGGCTCCCAAAAGCACCAATTTGCCCCAAGTTGCAGAGATTGTTTCCACTACCTCTTGCAGGCAACAGATAATGGGAATCCTGTAAAGTAGAGCGGCGAGCGAGCGGGCCAAACCATGATTTTACGTGGGCGGTGCCAAGTTAAGCACGCGCTCAGTAAACCTGCTAAGAAACATGTGACTTTGGTATTTGACTATAAACAAATAAACAAATTGTTCACCAAGTATTTGCGCAATAACTGGCATAATATAATCAATTCAATTCCACTTGGCTTGCCTGAAAACCGGACTGAAACCCTGGATTTTAAGATATATCCGTGATCGTATAGACAGGAAAATAATTATGTTTAAATTATCTAAACTGTAGAACTTAACATGTGAACGAAACTAACTTTATCTTGTGCAATACTTCGAAAGTGAACTTCATTGGAACTTGTGATCATCTCGATTTTTTCGAGGTACTGGTAATTCTCGAGAATTTCTACTTCTTCTAATTTATCCCATTGACTTGTTTCATTCTTTATAACATTGGGATTGTATGTATCCGAACTTTAGCTAGCTATAATAACCACACCTACCTGCTTGCACGCGCACCTGGGATAGACCGTCGGTGGTTTTATATGGCGTCTGAAACAACTAAATAAATAGATAAATTAAAAAGCATTTACCAAAGAAATAGTATAGTTTTCTTTCCTCGCAGACACGGGATGGATGACATACAGATAAATATATGAATTGAATACATTTCATTATTAACTATTTCAGACATTTATACAGTACAGTATACATACGTTTTATCATAATCCTTCCTTCTTTCATTGTGTGTACCATATATATATATATATATATATATATATATAATCCTTTGATATATATATCTTCATTTAAAAATAAAAAAAATAAAAATATATAGGCCTAAACAATAGATAAATAATAATAACAGTGCTCGAATAGGAGCATGATGTTTAATCGTATCAAGCATAGCCCTACAATGAAAAGTTTATTTTCGGTTGTACGAAAAAAGTGTCTCTGGCGAGATTTGAACATGCAAACTCCTCTCCTTACAATTTGTTGATTGATTTTTATTAGGTAAATACAATCCAGAAACAGACAGGGCAAGACCCAAAACATGGAAGGCAAATTTCAGGTGTGCCATCAACTCTCTGCCTGATATTGTTGAGATTAAAGACCTTGGGACAAAACGAGGAAATAATGCATTTAAGGTTTACAAGATCAACCCAAAACGACCAAAAGCAAGACCTAAACAAAAGATTGGTAAGTAATTTCTTTGATAATGGTCCTTTCCGCTAAGCCCCACCCCTTGCACATTGTTCATTGACACTCTGGAAAGTCAATTTTCATGTAGTTAAAAATCAAATAATATAACAATTAATACACACTGTAAATATTAATACACAGTGTATATATTAATACACACTGTATATATTAATACACACTATATATTAAAACACACTGTATATATTAATACACACTGTATATATTAATACACACTGTAAATATCAATACACACTGTATATATTAATACACACCGTATATATTAATACACACTGTATATATTAATACACACTGTAAATATTAATACACACTGTATATATTAATACACACTGTATATATTAATACACACTGTATATTAATACACACTGTATATATTAATACACACTGTATATATTAATACACACTGTATATATTAATACACACTGTATATATTAATACACACTGTATATTAATACACAGTGTATATATTAATACACAGTGTATATATTAATACACACTGTATATATTAATACACAGTGTATATATTAATACACACTGTATATATTAATACACACTGTATATATTAATACACACTGTGTATATTAATACACACTGTATATATTAATACACACTGTATATTAATACACACTATATATATTTCTAGACTGGACCAGGTTTTTATTATAATATGTGGTAATATAACAAATTACTATTGCTCTTGAAATTTTATAACTGGAAAATGAAATAATATATAATCTATATAAATAATAAATTGCATTGCTTTAATATCACACTTGCAAGTTTGCATTAAATTAATTGCTAATTAAGTTACTAATTTCATTATTTTCATCTTTGCCTTTGTTTTGTGATGTCCATACAGATTTAAGATCAAAACAACCGTAACAAATAATGACTACAACTTTATAATTACTGATAAAGTTGTCAAATATTTCACTTTCCTTTCCTTAACCTTTTCTTGGATTACCCTGGTCCTGATTAAACAGTTGATAAAGAATCAATTTCATAAGCTTTGTTTTGAATTATCTTTGTTTTTTACGAATTTCTTTTGCAAACAACTGCTTATATGCAGATCATGTACATGATATGCTACCTGGTGTGTAAATATTACTAGAGAAATTGTGGTTTCTATTCTTAACAACACCAACCAACTTTGTTGGCTGTTGCATCATTGTCGCACCCCAAGCTTTATATTTTACATTTATAATTAGATACTACTAACACTCTACTTGGATTCAATATAATTATTGTTGTTCATTCCAGTAACTTCAGAGTCCACAACCGCTGGACCCACCACTAGTCTGCCAAAGAGGAAACCGCCAAGGAAACCACCGGCGCAGGTGATATCGCAAAGAAGGAATGAAATCGCAAAGACTACAGCAATGTCGTGGGTAGCAACACCGTCCTACCAAACAACACCATCAAATGATCTAAGTAAGTTCTGTCCTTGAATTTAATTACAGTTGTGCAGGGCCAGGGTTGGTGGCAAATTCTTAAAGGAGATACTGGGGCAGATGCAGAGGTGGTGCCCCCTAGGTTATATTATGAAAAATGTTTGTATTGTATTGTTGATTTGAACATAGTAGCTGTAAGAATTTTTAGGTATGAGAGTGCAATTTCCGGGTACCAAGAAGTTTATATTCTCAAAGTCTTCACACCTCAGCCCCAACCATGGAGGTCATGCATACTCCACACAATACCTACCGTCAAATCAGACATCCACTCCACAGATGAACTGGAATTGGAACTTACAATGTGAATTGATGAAAATAATTAATTATTTCATGCATAGTAATGTAATTAACATTTTGTAGTAAAGTCAACATTACAATAATAAGTAATAGGGAGTTCAAACCGAATGATGAAGGTGAACAAGAACTTAAGCATTGTTTGTTGATGGTTTTGTTTAAAACTTTAAAAAAAAGTTTTTAATATTTAATAAATAAATATTTGAATAAATAAATAAATATATAAAAGTAAATTAAATTACCATATCTCATAATTTGTTTATATTGATACAGGTGTTTAATGCTAATTACATAATTGTCTAAACAATATTTGTTGTAACTTTAATGCAGGATCAGGATGGCAACAAGCAAGGTATCCTCCTATATTATTGACACCTTCTGAGCCACATCAGACTACAACGCCAGTATACACACAAGAACTTCAAAACCAATATTCACCACCCTACTATGCGGACCACAGTTGGCCAACTTCTCACATTAAACCTGAGCCACTCCCTTCAAGACATCACGACACATATGTAGCATGGACAGAAACTGAACATGGTGAGTCAATATCAACAAATGTGGATTTGGGGAGGGTCTGGCTGGGATTTTCAAAAGCTTGGATTGACTGTGTTAAGTAGGAAATGTGGGTGGGGAAACTACTGATGAACAAAAGCAACTAATAAAGAGTGGGAATTGCAGGGTAGGGGGAAGGGATGATGTGAACCATGTGTAGAAATACATGGAGTGTAATAAAATAACACAGTAATATATAAAAGCTGAATTAATTAATAACTGAATTTGAGCTGGGTAGTTTTTTCCATTGTTCTTACCTGATTGACTTATGAAAATAGCAAGCATTTATTTCACAATGCCGACTTCCTAACAATAACTCCTTGAAAACTTGTTCCCATGGAATAGAGTATTTGCGGAAAACATATAACATTTACAGGGATAAAGCACAATACCATGTCAATGACATTCACCATGTCAAAATCAGTGCTATACACATGAGAGCCATCCCGTATTCAGCTACTCACATCAGCTTTAATAAAGGCCTAATCCTAAATTCTTAAAGGAACACTCTTATGTGTCTCAGATGATCCTAATTTCTTAAAGGGGCACTGTGTTGTTTGTTCATCATAGCATACAGTCTTTATAAGCCCAGCCAATTATAGGGTGCATGGCTCAAGATGTTTATATTTCTGACATGCATAGATGGATGAATTCTTGTTCATTAACACATGGGAATACTGCTTTGCAGCATTTCTATTAGATTTTCGCTCTTTATGGGAAACATCAAAGTATAAAGTACCAGCTGGTTACAAAAAATAATAACAGTTATTTGTAATTGTCAACTGAAAGCGTGAAGACAATACTGAAATGTTTGTGTAGATAACAGCGCACTATCACAGCTGGCTATTTATCACACTCAACAAATCACAAAACAGATTTTGCACTTGAAAAAACTACAGTATTTTATACTATTGTTCGATTGTATTTTAGAGGATTTAAATATTTTAAAAAAATATCTATCCACTTTTTATTCATCAAAGTTGCTTATTAGGCATCAACTTGGATTATTTTATTATTATTATAAAATAGTCAGTTATCTATTTTTATAAAACCCCTTTAGGATTTTGTAGTATTGTTAGATACATACATCTGGCTAGCAATGAATCAGATATTCGAATTTCATTCATGTTGTGCACCCATGTGAAAAAATGAAAGAATTAGTTTCACACACTCCTTAACAATAGAAGATTTTCTTCACGAAGACTAGATAGGAAATGTCAACAGACAATTACTGGTACAAGTTTGTTTCTTTTAAATGTTTAACACCTGGTCTGTGGTTTTGCTGGTTTAGTAAATGATATGAAAGCCAATATAATACACAACACCTGTAGGCTATAATATACAACATAGTAAAGCAATCATCAACACCCATAATGCACCATTCACCCATAATGCACCGTTCATTCAATGCCCTATTGTGTAGCCTAATTTGATTGAGATTACATTTTAATCCTTTTTTCCCACTTTTAATAATGCTTAAAATGCATATCAGTAAACTAATGAAATAGCTTATATTGATAACATTTAAGTAAAATAAATAAAATAGTATTCATAGAATATGGATATCATTTCATTCTCTTATGCCTCTTAACAATATGTATTAATTACACGAGTGTAATCAGATCCTAAGCTTTTGAAGTTAGATACATTACAAGACCATTTCTACACGGTCACAGCATACAGGAAATTGTACAATAAAACTAAAACAAACAAAAGCGTATAATGCAATCAAACCTAAATAAAGGCAACCGACATGTACGCAACTGCTTCCAGGGTAATTATTTCAACAAAATATAATTTTAACTGTCAGTATAATTATTATGAACAACTGTTCACATTTGAGATATAATCATAACTGAATTGTTGAATTTTCCTTCCAATATTTTGTTTCTGTATAAATAAACACTTCCTTTGACCTACATCAATTAATATTTTAGAAGGTCACTTATTTCATTAGAATAATTTTCTTTTTCAGATCAAAATAGTGATTGTAGTAGTGCTCCTACAGATGAAGAAATAATACAGGTAAGAAAAAAGTATTTATACTTTTTTCCATAAAAAATAATCCAATTATGTGAATTTACAATCTTAAGTGTATGTTTGATATTTAATTATATAAGGAAATTATGATTTATTAGATAAAATAAATAATAAATAAAAACATAATTTAAATGAAAAACTGAATATTTAATAATTATATAATTTATTAATATTTTCATTTTTTAAACATCAACATTAATCACTAAAAATATAATGAATTATAATTTAAAAATATAATAAATAGTATAGTTCTATGATTAATAATATTTTTTTGTTTTTTCTTTAGATGACCCTTGACATGCAGGAGAACAGTCCAATATCAAGCCCAACATCATATGAACAAACTGACTGGGTTCCCAGCACGTTTGGCGATAAACAATACCTTAGCAACGAACTGACTGTCACAAGGACGACAGGTAAATATTATCAAAGTGATCTTTGAAAATGTTACAAGTTAGACGTTTTATTTATTTAAAAAAAAAAATGAATGGTAAATGAAAGCTTTTCTGTATTCAGTATTCTGTATGCATGTCCCTGCCAACTGATAACTTCACTCCCACCTTAAGTACTTGTGTATTTGGCCTTTATGCCTAAAGCTGAATAAATAATTAAATAAATAACAGTAATAATTGTAATTATAAACACAACTTGCTACTTGCACACCGATAAACTAACTAACAACGTATTGCATTCCTCCACAGCTATGACTTCGCCACTGAAGGTTCAAACAACTTTCCCGACTAGTACTAGCCCACCTGCCTATCCTAGTATCAAAAGTGAGAGAGACTCAAGGTGTAGTCTATTTGGAAACCCAACTATGACAGGCCCACCTGCACCACCTCCCCCACCACCACCTTACCGGCCTACAATGAGTAAGTCTGAAAATTATTTATGCTTATTTGTGGTAAAATCAAATGTACTATATAAATAAAACTATGTTAAATTGTTTTTCGAGAAAAGTAAAACTGCCATCACCTTATTTGAAAAACTGATTGTTACTTTCCTTGCACTCTTGGGTGCAGGGTTTAGTCTTATGAAAAGTCAAGAATGTTTCTTACAATCAAATAAAGACCACTTATAAAGCCTAATAGTCTATATACAGAGCATCTCAGGTCCTAAATATAAGCTCTTCTTGATAAATATGATATAATATATAATGGAATATATCAATACATTTTTTGACTTATACAATATTATTTTACTTTTGACAGATTATCCACAGATATTTCAGCACATGTGAAATATTTGCATGTGCAGAATCTTCCTCTGCAGTTGAAATAATGTAATGTGATGAAATTTTTGGACAACACTTCGAGAGGTTTGTGATCATCTGGACAATGCCTGTCATTTATTGGTGATAAGATGAAGAGCCTGGAATCAACTATCTAAAACTATAGAAATTGTATGAAAAAGCACTGCTTTGCTAATCATAGCTTAGGGATTGGATACCGACAAAGAATTTTATCTTAAAATTTTCATGCTAGTAAAATAGCGAATTTTTACATTCTTGTCGGAAGTTCAATCTTTAGCAGATAGGGAAAGTCAGTGCAATTTAAATAGTGTCATCAAGTCTTGGAACGGTGTGGTTTTGTAAAGTTGATATACAAAAGCTGGGCTAACTCTGCTCACTGTAGCTACGTAAACAATGCCAGTACTGAATAATGCCCTTATATAAGGTTATACCAATTTCATAAGATCACTCCTGTTGTATATCCAAAATGATTATCATATAACCTTATATGAACATTGTGTGTGACATGCATGTTGATTAGATAACATTTTCAATGTCAGTATAAGGCTTACCAATTTGTTTCTGTTTTAGCAAAAGTGCCAACAGTGTGGATAGTCCACTTACTGTCAACTAATGTAATGTATAAGTTTCCTAGGATCCGTCAGGTTATCTTGGCCAAATAAAAAATGCTGAAGAGTTGTATGCCGACAGGCCTGCTCTTGAAACAATCAACCCCTTAGCATCCTGGGCTCCAAGCCCTTAGATTCAGATGCATTCGTATGAAACTATTAAGTCAAGCACTCACTCCGACCACCGGACATCAGCTGATGTGATTCGATGGAGAACGCAATGCCACGATGCACACGTAATGGGTCGTTTCCAATGACGATCCGTTCAAACTGGCACGAGACAATCAGCAGACAGCGTGACATTGTCTCGTGCTCGCATCCATCCAAGTTAGATTCGTTATACGACCATTATACGATGCAGTGAGTGCCCGGCTTTAAAGTACACAAAATATTGCGCTTAACTTTGTGGTCCTAGACACCTACCTACACTATTATTTCTGCCTAGATTTATCTATGTGGATACCAAGTATCAGTGTTAAACATTCCTACATATACACTACTTGAACTAAAAACACTATGTTAGCTGCAACCTGTTTGATCATTTGATTTTGGTGTTCCATGACCAAATGTGTGTTTATATGCCATTTTTGTAAGTCTTATGCAAAAATACAGTGCTGAATTAATGTTACTACTGTCTTCCATCAATTCTTGTGTAACTTTTGTGCAATTGCTATTTTTCTGTTGGGATTGCTCCCAATTGAAAAAAAATCGCTGATTATTTTATTTGTAATTTGCTGAATAAAATCATATTTACTGCTAAAATACTGTTGTACATAAACAATTTAAGATAGAATTTCTAGTTTTTCTTTTAAAAAAAAAGCATTGCTTCTAGTTAACTTGGATCAGCATTTGTTAGAGTAAGCTAAATAAAAACTTAGGTTTTCACAATTTGAATGCTATTTGGATTGGTCAATATTGATGTCCATAATAGTTCCAGTTTCAAGCGACAAAATGATATGGAGAGAACTAACCACCACCAATCAGCAAATTCACCTTCAAAGATTGTCGCTACAGGAAAGGTTCAAAGTTCAAAGAATTTATTATCAATAAAATCTAACTTTTGTATTAAACTTTTGTAAATGCATTTCTACTTCATTTATGAATTCCATTTTAACTGGACTTACAATCAAAGGTTAAATGTTATATATTTATCAAATGATTAACCTCCAATAGCCAGGAATTACATAAAGTTTATAATTCTACAAAAGTCTATGCAGGATTGTATAGTTTGTATTTTTTTAGTAACTGGGAATATTTTGCTAATTGTAAAAGTAAACAAGATAGTTTTTCATGCATTTTTGGCCACTTTTTCAGGACATTTGTAAAAAATAAATTTTCAAGAAAAAAAATAGAAAAGAGGGTAGGAGCCTGAATGGAGCAGATGTAGGCCTACAGTATGTTTGTATTTCCCATGCTGGTTCTTGGGACAGACTATGTGTCAAAGTTGCTTGGAATAAAAATAAGAAAGAGTAAACATTGGAATTATTTTGTAGAATAATTTGTTGTGTACATGAAACAAATTCAAACAGAAAATGTATCTATCATTATATATAT